CACACCACCCCGCACCCACACCCCATACACCCACACCCACACCCTCAAGCATCCACATATCATCAATACATTCGGATTTGTTGAAAATAGTTTTCGATCGATTATGTTACTGCAAGAACGAGCACCTCACGGTCATCTTCAAAAATTACTAAAAAACAATTTATTCGAACCAACATCAATGGTACTCATTTCTATTTTCTTACAGATCATTGATGCAATGACTTATGTCGTTAGCCAAGGCATGATACATGGTGATTTACGTTGCTTGAACATTCTTGTCTTTCAAATGGATGCATCGAAACCTAAAGAAAACTTTGTTAAATTAACGAATTTTGCTTTAGCAAGACCAAATGAACCATCATTATTGGAAGATAGAAGATTAATTATTCCAGTAGAATATTGTGCACCTGAAATTCTTCAAAGTGCAGGTCGATTGTATTATTCCGAATTATCTGAGATTTATTCCATGAGAGTATTAATGCGGGAAGCTTGTTCACAAGGACAACTTCCTTATGGCTCTTCGATATCGAACAAAGAAATTCGACAAAAAAAGTTAAATGATGAAATATTACCGAGGCCATGGATGTGTGATAGACAAATTTGGCCTATTATTAAAAAGTGTTTTGATCTTGCGTAAGTACATCGAGTGTATACAACTAAACTAAGACAATAAATTACTGTTATTGTCAATAATATGATTTTTTATTTTTATTTCAAAGGTCACACTTTCAATATGTACTCGGTATTGATGTCAAAATGAACGATCGATTATATGGTAGATATGGGCACATATATTATAATGCAGAATGGATAAGAAAGAATAAATCATCGATTATATTAATTGTAATAAATACAGAAAGAGCTGAACATGACGCTTCATTTCATCTTGAGCTTAGCTCTCATAAACATATTGTTCATACCTTTGGATTAGTAAAAAATGATCCTCGATCGACAATGTTAATACAAGGACCTGCTCCACATGACAATCTTATAAAATTGTTACAAAGTCAACAATTTAAACCATCTGCAAAGATTCTTAAAATAATTTTTTTACAAAATTATTGATGCTATGATTTATATTGTTGAGCAAGAGAGAATACATCCTATTCCGCGATGTTGCACATTGCTGGAATCAGTTCCGCCCCGGAATCGATTCCATCCAATTCCGCAATTCCGCTCACACAGACCTCAATCCAATTCCGGAATCAAATCAACCATTTCCCAACAATTCCGGAATCATTTCCAATAATACCATCTAATTCCGAAACTCCGGGAATTCCATCAAGCAGGAATCGCAGCGAATTAGCCCGAATTGCTTCAAATTCCATGTAATTCCGTTATATTCCGGAATCATATATACGTTGCATTAATACCATAGTTCACTTCTAGTGTATCCATGCAATTCCCAAACGGAATTCCGGAAATCGCTTGAAGGAGGAATTCGACGGAATTGCATGCAATTCCATGTAACTACGTTCGATTCCGGAATCATTTATTCCTTGCATTAATACCATAGCTCACTTCGACTGTATCCATGCAATTCCCAAACGGCATTCCGGGAATCGCATAAAGGAGGTATTGGACGGAATTGCATGCAATTCCATGTAATTCCGTTCGATTCCGGAATCATTTATTCGTTGTATTAACACCATTGCTCACTTCCAGTGTATGCATGCAACTGATAAACGGAATTCCGGGAATTGAGTCGAGACGGAATCGCACGGAATTGGACGGAATTCCTAGGAATTTCGTCCAATTCCGGAATTCCTGGAATTGATTCCAATTCTGGAGTTGGTGAGGATACAACCACCACTCAATTCCCTGAATCGGACGGAATTCTCTGGAATTCCGTGCAATTCCTTCCGATTCCGTGTAATTCCGCCTCGACTCAATTCCCGGAATTCCCTGGAATTCCGTGCAATTCCGTCCGATTCCGTGTAATTCCGCCTCGACTCAATTCCCGTGATTCCATAGCGGAATCACTTTTCCCCTCACCCTCACGCATGGTGATGCGACTGTAGATTATCCTATCGCATAAGTAAGTAATTCCGGCACGGAATTCCGGGAATTGAGTCGAGATGGAATCGCACGGAATTGGACGGAATTTCCAAGAATTCCTACGAATTTTGTCCGATTCCGGAATTCCTGGAATTGATTCCAATTCCGGGGTTGGTGGGGATACAACCTCCACTCAATTCCCGGAATCGGACGGAATTCCCTGAAATTCCGTGCAATTCCGTCCGATTCCGTGTAATTCCGCCTCGACTCAATTCCCGGAATTCCGTAGCGGAATCACTTTTCCCCTCACCCTCACACAAGGTGTTGTGACAGAAGATTATCCTCTCGCATAAGTAAGTAATTCCGGCGCGGAATTCCGGGAATTCAGTCGAGACGGAATCGCACGGAATTGGACGGAATTCCGTCCGATTCCGGAATTTCGGGAATTGATTCCAATTCCGCAGTTAGTGGGGATACAATCTCCACTCAATTCCCGGAATTCCGGAATCGGACGGAATTCCTAGGAATTCCGTGCAATTCCCTCTGATTCCATGTAATTCCGTCTCGACTCAATTCCCGGAATTCCATAGCGGAATCACTTTTCGCCCTCACCCTTACGCTTGGTGTTCTGTCCGAAGATTATCCTCTCGCTGAAGTAAGTAATTCCGGTACGGAATTCCG